GCATTCTCGGGTTTGTGATAGGTGAAAATGGTTTGTAGTATGCGGAAAGACCATGAAATAAATAGTCGAAAATAGTATATCACTCGGAATAATGAACTAGGAGTAACATTATGAGATATTTCGCTCGATTAGACGTTTAGTGTTTAGTACGAGACGAGCAGCTTAACAGTGTCGACACGTGGCAAGTACAGGACATGCGCAACATGTTTTTACATTATTCTTTGTAGGATAATAATCATTAATATATTAATACAGTCACATAAAAGTTATATCATGGTTTGCATCAGATTATATTCTATTCGATAAAAAAACAATATTTTCGTTTACACAAATAAATGGTACATTGATATTTGACAAAACAAGTATATACTCAAATTACAAAGTTATTTCAAATTTGATCAATAGATGAGTATATGGACTATTTCTTTTATTTCTCGAATAGAATCACTCAAATACCTTTCAATTTCATATTTTTTAATAATTTTTCAGTCGATTTTTAGGTGCCAAATTCATGAATAATGCTACGCTAATTTTCAAACGGCTAGAAATTTCACCGCCAGTGAAAACTGACGCCACGATTTCGTAAGTAGGGGCAGACCATAGCACAGTTGCCATGTGTTGAAATACGATTGGGAACTCCAGAATTATTGGTTATTCAATAATAATTCATAAATTCTCAATTGACTATTGGTAATATTCCTAATAAGCAATAAAATTTCAATTGACTCAAAATGTTTCCTTGTGATTAGTGGCTCATTGCTTATAATACATTTGTGTAAATAATAATTAAATTAATACACACTGGAGGATATTTGATTCGGTGAACGTGACAACCCCGCGCACGACTTGTGGGCGTGGTCTTGTCAGTTCTCGACATTCAACACAATGTTGCCAAGTTTCCAATAGTCACATGATAAATAGTTATGGAGAATAAGAAATATTTGGGCATGCTGGTTGCTCGAAAAAGTCAAGAATGAACTATAATGTCATGAGTTCTTCCTATTATATACAGGGTGTTCCACAGGTAAAGGGAAATATTTCAATGGTAGATAGGGGTCACCAAGGTGGTTCTGAAAATACCATATTTGATAGGTCTTAGAGTTTTCATAACGGAGATACAGGGCAATTTATCGATTTCGAATAATTATTCATTCGTCTAAAGTATTGAACTACTCAGTATATTTTTCTAAAATTTGGTATGGAGCTTATACTTGGGACGTTGAATTCATTCATCTATCGGGCGAAGAGAAAATCCAGGTTCGGCTTCAGGAAAAATTCACATTTATTCGAAATATTAGAATAATATAATAATGAAATTGGTGGCGGGAAAACAAAAAGCATCAAACCCAGTTGGGTTTTTCCTCCTCTTCACGATTCCTTTGATGAACTTTGTCAATTATTACATACATTGTGTTATTTTAATATTTCGTATAAATGTAAATTTTTCCTGGAGCCGAACCTGGATTTTCTCTTCGCCCGATAGATGAATGAATTCAACGTCTCAAGTTTAAGCTCCTGATAGGTCAATGAATCTGACGTCCTAAGTAATCTCCATACCAAATTTTAGAAAAATATACTGGGTAGTTCAATACTTATAGACGAATGAATAATTATTCGAAATCGATAAATCGCCCTGTATATCCGTTATGAAAACTCTATGACCTATCAAATATGGTATTTTCAGAACCACCTTGGTGACCCCTATCTACCATTGAAATATTTCCCTTTACCTGTGAAACACCCTGTATATGTATTTTTGAATTCAGATTGACGGGCTTTATCGAATTATGAAAAAGAAATTGATCATTTCATTTGGATAAAAGATTTTTTCCCGAGCCATATCAATGGTATGAAGAAAAATTATGCACAGATTCATAGCAGTTCGTAAAGCGCAATTATCCAGAGAAGTTTTCGAATGACCAAAATATATGTTTTTGAGAATTACGAAGATGAAGGGGGGTGACACATTTAAGTGAGACACCTGTAATCAATGATACAGTGTTTCAAGATTTCCTTTTTCATTGTAAATATAAATCAGGAAGGATTTCAATAAGGATGAATGTATAGTATGTTGAAACAACTACAGTGATAGTGAGTAACCAGATAACTCGCCAAATAATAAGTATACCTAATGATAATAATTATCACTTCCATCTCAATTTTCAGTATACGTATGTGTTTTAACTAGAAATTCATATGGAGATTCATTGGTTAATTCTATTATAGTCACTCATTAATCACTTCACGATTAGTCCAAGAGAATTCAATGTATACCTATAGCCCAATTGACATCATATATCAGATGAAGTACCTACAATACAGGGTGTTAACAAATGAGAGTCACAACGGAAAATTGTAGATTCCGCATGAAAAAATAATAAACAAAAATCCTCGCAAAAATCTCTTTGTTGCTACTATCTCATAGGAACCGTTTGAGCTAGGGAGTTAAGCCTTCGTACACACTTCATCAACAACATCAACATTCAAAATCCTGATGGTATCTCCAAAAATCGTCTAAAAATCCACTGGAAATAAACACCTCAGAACTGTCTAAGAATATGTTCAATCAAATGTCAGGTTCTTGAGTATCCTGGTCTCGATGCTGGTTTTCAAATTGTCAAGTTTATTAAGTGTTGTAAAGTGTGTTTAATTAAACTGAACATTTGTGATTTTTTGACGCCCTGTATATCTTGAAAACTGAAGCCTGGAGAAAAATGTTGAAGAGGAAAAAAATTTTTCTTTTATTATGAGGAATCTACAGTTTTCCGTTGTGACACTTATTTGTTAACACCCTGTATATCCAGAGGCTCTTGATATATGACCCTCGTATTTTTTATTCAAACATATTCACATAATATTCCTAATCACAATGCTCCTTTGAGATTTCAGTGAAAATACAAGCATATATTTTGAGTTACGAGTCAAGTTCATTCAGTAGCAATTTCAAGTCCTCGATTGTACAGAATATCATGCAAAAGATCTATAAATCCAACAGCAATGGCACCATCAATGTTTGATGTATGGTGTGCTGAGGGCGGGGCAACAGTTCGTATGACGGATAATTACGGAAAATTGCTCTTTTATTGAATGATTTTATGAATAAAGACCAGTGGGCATATAGCACTTAATAAAATTAGCCATTGACGTGCAAACTGGAATCGAAGTTGAATAATAAAATATAACATCACGTAATGGAGCAGGTATCATATAACAAAGCCATTACCCCGCCTTTATAGCATAATGCTGAGAAATAAAAAGAAGATTGTGCGCGATTTCGAATCACGGTGGTCTCAACAGCAGCAACATTCATTATACCATTTTGTAGAAGAAAGTTGTTTACCAAAATTCGTACAATTGCCCAGTGGGATTGATTTGCCTGATATAGAATATACTCGACAACTATAAGTATATAGGTACTTACCACTTACCCCATCCAAAAACGGAAAGACTTACATAGCATAAATGCGATGCATAATTTTAGAGAGTTATTGCTTCACGAGAAAAGTTTGCTTAGGTGTGGAGAACAAGTCTTGCATATTTTTCTAATTTCTGCGGCACCACCACTTCCCAAGGTCCAACATCGATTTGAAAAAAGTATATACAAGGTCTCAGAACAACGTGCCGAAAAGATGTACTTTGATGGAGAACATGTAAACTTCGATGTAAACAGGATGGATCAAAAATGGATTATGGTGCAGTGAGAATTCTAGCAACTGAATCAAACAGAACTGAAAGAACAGATATCAACCATTTGAGTAAAATCTATTCTTACCTACTTTCCATTGATTATGAGTATTATGACGCAAATTCATGACATAATATTCCATTACATAACTAAAATAGTTCCATCGCTGTTTAATTCTACAGCTTCTCAATGTTGAAGTTTTTCAACAAATTCTCAACATTATTGAACATTCTACATATGGACATTCTTCTTCTTTTTCACAAACTGGCTGACTACTGGAATGCTTATGAACCAAGATTACACACCTGTCAATTGACATGCACAAAATCCTCTATATTTTGTGAAAAGAAAGAAGCAGACATTCCTAACCTATAAGAATCCAAATACTTTTGAAAAAATTTGGCTGGTATTGAATTTTCAACTAAACTTTATATAATAAATTCGAAATTTGACAGTTGATTTTAGTTGTACAGATGTTAGTCTAGTCTAGTCTCGAGTCTAGTCTAGTAATTTCACATTTTATATACTGAGTAACCAACCTTTCATAACCATAGTGTTGTCCAATGTATTTGCACTCTTAAATCATTGTAGCTTCCCTGATGATGGAAATATAATCATTTCCGACAGCTTGGATTAACTTTAAAGAGTATTCCTTCACATTGCTGCTATACCCCCAATATATCTAAATTGGTTTCATACATATATCTGCGAAGTTCCAAAAGTTCTTTTGCTTTTGTCGAATGAATCCGAAGCAGTAAACTGGGATTCGGGTTTCACCTTAACCCAATGATATTTTAGGGAGCAATGTGTGAGCTTTCGCCATCCGGGTCTCATCAGTTAGGCGAAGAAGCCTAAGAGCTAGATTATTAATCTAATTTAGTTGGTTCAGGAAGCAGTTCTCAAACGCAAAGAACAATTCGTTCATATTGCCAAAGACACAAAGGCTGTGCTATATAGTGTCGGCATCTGCGGAGTTCTACAATTTCGAGCGACTTTTGTGCTATGCACTTTTGACTTTTGTCTTTGCTCAAAACTATTCCATTCTCGATTCTATTGTTATAAAGTTTAAATGATTGCTATGTTTTCTATTTGAATGGAAGAAAATGAATAGCCGTAGAGAAAGTATAGTGAGTTACACTAGTTGTAAGCCCATTACGCACTCATGAAATTTATGCACTGCCGCTGCGCGGCTTCGTGCTCTAACTTTTTCATTTAATGCGTAATGGGTTACTTACAACTCTTGTTACGTATTATACTATTTATCGCGTTTTGCCAAAAAATATTTGCAGCTCGATTTTTATTTATTGACCCAATCCCAAAAACATGACCTACCGCACATCATCGATCTCGATCCTCCTGGCAAATGCTTTCGTACACACACCGAACGCCAGCCAAAGCAGTCCCACCACGTTTCCAGCCAGTGTAAATTACAAGGGAGTGTGCAACTTGACTGGGGCAAGGTAATACGTCATCGCTCATCCGGACTGGGTCCGGTGGCACACACAAGTCTGGATAAAACTCCCGTTGTCGAGACTGGTGCACTCTCTCCATTATTCCAAGGAAATTATCATCTGAATAGCCCCATCGTCTTGCGAGTGAGGAGATATTTGTTGTCTGTTTGCGTATCAGGTGCATACCTCCTATACCTATAAACAGTGTATTCTTCATTTCTGCATATGAGTCGAAAAGGAGGGGAGAACGTTTTGCCTGGCCAATATATTATAACCATCAGTAGTCATATGAAAATATTTTCGTGAAACCAGAAAGTATGTGGAGCTTGAACAAATTCAAATGTGTAATTACACGCGAAATAATTTTAGAATCTGCAACTCGTAGAATTATGATTATGATGATGATGTACATTCCCGGTACCAATCAACCTCTCGGCCAATCTGCATTGTAGCCGATGGTACCCTTAGGATGAACCTTTGAACTATCGATCATCATTATCTATAGAGCTAGCCTCGGTGCTAGCACTCATATAACAGTTAGGCATGCTAGTGTTTTTGTTTTCATTGCACCGCAATTCACTTAGCACTATAGCAAATATCCTCGGCAGCACCCTAATAATAATCCATCTTTATCATCGTTATGCTGATATGTCAGGAGTTGGCTAGAATGACAAGACCCCCTGATTAGATATTCCAGAATTGCACTACAATACTCGTCAGCTCAGCCTCCCCCAAAATTACCTTCCAAATATGAGGGCACCAGCCGGCACCAGCTTTGCCGATAGTGGTACTAGAAAGTGCTAGAATGTTACTCTTATGAGGGTGCAAAGCAAAATAATTCTATATATAACCACCAGAGCTGGGGAGGTGGATAGATGGCATTGTGACTCATTATCGTGGATCAACATCATTTGCTCTTTCTAACCCCGCACAAGTTTCGACTTCAGGAGAGTTGGTTCCCAACTTTGAAGTAGCGATATACAAAAAAGAACTCGTTGGAAAGAGTATGTTCTGCGTGCACTTATTTTTTTGTATTGTGTTATTTGTGCAATTTATATATGCTTCTTCATTTTCAAATGCTATACTTTGCGCTCGACTTTGTGTGACCTGTTTATATGTATATGAAACTATAATAATATGCTCTGGTCCTTTTTTCTCTCATCGGGTATGCAAATAATATAAAATTTTTCGCACTCTTAGAATTCAGTTGAATTTTGTTCAAACCATCGATTTGGAATGTTTTTTCTTGTATATGACAAATTCGAGGTCAAATTAGTTCCGGCTGCGATGAGTAGGCACCTCTCGGAAAAAATATTTGAAAAATAACGCATGATTATATCCTTGCTTTCTGGATAGGTATAGCCTGAATTGCATTCAGAGGATAAAACATTGTTGTTGATCACCACCACTATAAGTTTGAGACGAAATAACTATACTTAGACTCTATCAGAGTGGAAACGAAATTTAATTTGAGTCGAACCGCACTACCATATACCTACTACTCTGTGGACGGATTCAAACTTCAGATGTCTTTGAAATAAATAAAATTTGTTAAATTCAATAATCTATTTTCCATGTGTGTAGTATGGTCACTTAGGTATATCCTCAGGTATATAACATACAATTCTTTATTCTATGAGAGTTATGTATAAGCTGATGGCCGAACTAAATCAAAATTATAAGTCATTTCTGCATTACATAATCAAATCTACCTTGATCTCCAAAGAAAAGACGACTGAAGAAAATTCAACGGTTCTATCATTGCATTCATCTAAAAAACAAAGAACTTATTGTTATCTTCAAAATTCGAAAATATTTCTACCAATATCCTCGCCAATACCTACATTTTCTCCTGCTGGTCGCTCAATGATCCACGAACATGAAAAAGCTTCCCTTTGGTGTGTGCATGTGCTCCAAAAGAAAAAAACCAGATGACTCCTTTTGATTGATCATGAGGGTGAAATATTCAGAAGTATATACAGTGGCACAGAATATGCCTATATATCCGAGTTCATCACGCTTGGAATAGACACATACATACCTCATTCTTTGGAAAGATCATCACCTTCGGATCCCTGGTTCAACAAAAACTGTTCTAGAGCTGTAACCTCGAAACAAACAGCCAACCATCGCTGGCGCAAAAACCCTAACCTTGCGACTAGAGCAAAATACGTTGAAGCCAGGAATAACTGCAGCCTAACAATGGATGCATCGAAAGAAACATACAATGCCAAAATAAGATCGAAACTCTTAGATTGTCCCAATGGATCCCGTACGTTTTGGTCACTCGCTAAAGCGGTGGGGAGGAATTTCACTAATGGTTCATTTCTACAACTCTCCAAAGCCGGTACTTTAGCAACAACATCGCAAGAGGAAGCAAATATTTTTGCAGAGATGTTTGCAGCAAACTCTACTTCAGATTCCCAAGGAGGAGTGCCGCCAGATATTCTATCCGTTCCGCACTATCAGACGCATTTTGATGGAATTCAACCCTTATCCTCACAAAATGTGCACTAGAATTGACTGCATGCATGTTATTCACCATCTCGTAAGAATCGGGTATTTTCCCATCATGCTGGAAGATAGCTAGAGTCCAACCAATCCTCAAAAAAGGAAACAAAAACCTGCTCAACAACTACAGGCCTATTGCCCTGTTATCAGTAATCTCCAAAGTGATGGAGAAAGCCCTCAACATAAAGCTTATCAAATATCTGGAAAGCTCAGGACTCCTTCTCAAACTACCATCATACGGCTTACCACCTCAGCAATGCTATCTCTTATCGAGTTTTCTTTCAGTCAGATCACTCCACGTGCGGTGGTGGATGGTGCAACGTCAGGATCAATTTTGGCACCAACATTGTTTCTTCTTCATATCAATGCTCTGTTGGGAGCAATCACTTGACCTACCCACAGTTTTGCAGATGATAGTGCTCTCCATACTGCGTTCTCTTCCAGAATTTCCATTCCTTTCCTTTCAGGAAACTAGGAATTCACGGTCGGTGACCTTTCACTTTTTATAGATACTTCAACGGGAAATGATCTCCAGAAATCTCTGCTATCATTCCACGACTATAGCAATACCAGTCAGACGAACTCGACAAGCGAAGTCAGCACATGAAATATTATACGGAGCTTTATTCCTTTCGAAAAGTCTACAATAAGAATTATTCTTTTAGTATTTAAGAATTTTTGACCGCGGAAAATCAGGTAATATATTGTTCCCTTTTGGAGTATTTCAGAGTAAAGAGCCTAGACCTTCGTCTTAGTGTCTAACTTTTGAGAACTTCGAGGTAGCAGCTGACACTATTTTTAGATACTCTCTTCGATCATTTGGTAGTTTTATTTGTTTTACCAATTTCAACTTTGATTTTTTATTATCACATTTGAAATTACCCGTTCGTTCGCAAGTGAAAATATCACTCTATTACGATTTCTTTCCTCGAGCTTGCCCCTTTTAGTTGGTTAGATGGACTTTGGGGCATACTGCAATTGCTCGCAGCGGTCAGGGTTCCCAACAGGGTGTAATTATCCCATGGTGCAATTGCGCGCACGTTCCAAAAAAGTCATGCTGTAATTCCGCGCAAAATCAGAAACTATAGTAAAGGGAAGTTTTATTTAATTTTTATATGCCTTGAACGGAAATTTCATCAATTTCAGAAAGGACAATATTATCCTTTCTACATATAAGACAGGAGACTATAGTCTTCCTTAACAATCTAACCTAACTCGGCCTATTATATAACGTATATAATATAAGGGAGGAAAATATCCTTCCTACATAAAAAGACCTAATATATAAATAATATGATGAAGCAAAATATCGTTTCTGCATCAGAAAGGAGACTACTTTTTCCTGGACTCCTACTAAACAATCTAACCCAACTCAGCCTAATATACCTATAGATAATATAAACAAGGAAAATATCCTTCCTGTGTAAGAAAGGCGAGAAGAAAGGTGACTGATTTTTCGAAACAATCTGACCTAGCTCGGCCTCAACAAACCTCCCACCATAAACTTCATTTTCGAAAAACTATACAGGGTGTATCTAAATAACACCGAAAAAATTCAAGGGGTGATTCCTTGTGATATTCTAGCAAATAAAGTTCATATAAACATATATCCTAACTTGCTCCGTTTTTGAGATACAGGATGTTGAAGTTGATGGAAGTATCAATTGTTTTGATTCATAACTTCCCAAATTGAGTATGGTTGGAGACTGAGGAAGCCCTAAAATTTCAAAATGATTGTGATTGGGGTTATTGCGTAATCTCAATGGAAGTCTTGAAAACCTATACAGTAAAATTTGGAGTCAAATCAAATTTTTATTCTTTCCTCAAAAAATAAGCTAGATACTAAAATCACACCTCGAATCACACAAAGGATAAAAAAGGTGTTATTTCAATAGTTCAATCTAATAAAAATATGAAACTCACCATTCACCATTGACATTCACCATAAATATCGATAAATTTACCCACTGTGACGCCACTGGAAATATTATTTCGAATCAAATTGCACCAGACGATGCTTCATATTACTATTAACAAAACCACAACGTTTTATTGAAATTGATGGAAAGACAATTGAGTAATGAATAAAAAAACGATCTTTCATGGAAATTTTGATACCCTGTATCTCGAAAACGAAGCAAGTTAGGACACATGTTCATATGAACTTCATATCCTAAAGGAATCGCCTCTTGAATATTTTCGGTGTTATTCAGATACACCCTGTAAGTATAATATTCATTTGGGATTGCTGTAAGTTTTTATATACTGTCTTAAAACCAACAGGAATTTACAAAATGTTATCAAAAAATAGATCTTGGCGTAGTATCTGTCTAAAAATTTGTTTATCCATCAGCCTTAATCCTTCTGTTGCGCGCAATTACAGCCTCCGTCTTGAGGATAAATTTCAGCCACCAGAAGGTATTTGACCGCTGCGCGCAATTACAATATACCGGGATAATGATCGCTGAACATGTTGCATCTGGTTTTCAAACATCAGCTCGAACATCAGGTTCAAGTTCTGGCGAATCAGGTAACCATCAGGTTTCGGGTTTTTGATTGCACGAACACCTATTCAACTAATGATCTGTTTTATCATCCACGGGCGTCCAAGTTATCGTATACATCAGGCATTAACTCGCTTATTTGATAAGATAATTGAATAATAATAATAAACTGCATTGAATGGCATTGAACTACCTTCTTAACAAACTACGAAAAAAATCATTACATTTGACAACCCTGATGTCGTCCCCTCACTTTTAATTTTCAAATGACACTCCCTGTATATTGTTGCTGTAAATTGCGTGTCATTCTATTTGGAATACAACGACAGCACATACTTGGTTAAACATTATCATTATATGACTTTTCTCAGGTAGTTACTCGGGTCGGTAGGTACGTTACTTGATTGAATAATGAAAAAATGCCTCCGCCCATGTTTTAAAAAACTTCACAGAATAGAAGTATAGATTTTTTCGTTTCAAGAGACAGATCCTTTTTATGTCAAAAAATTCAAGACAGTTAAATACATATTCTATTTTATATTGTAGGCAGAACAAAAATCATTAGCAAACGGTACACCTATAGTGATATTAATCTGAGTTGGTAATTCAAATAACATCAGTTGATGCATGCCCACGCCCACATATTGTCATTCTATAGCTTTGATTCAATTATGAGTTCAGTTGAGATTTTAATAAGTAGGCATTTATTTCGTGAAAATTATTCATGAAATACTTACCACCTTGCAAGTTTTTGATCATTACCTAACACTGACAATGAAATAAATGTCCTAATTCCAAGAACCTCTGATTACGTTACAAAAAAAATGATTCCTAACGGATAGTACCAATACTACCACTCGAGTACCACTGCCAGCAGATACCTAATGAAGTTTCAAGTTTCAAGCATTGTCACCGACGGCTACGCCACTACGCTCTGGTTCCACAATGGACAAACCGAAATTATTTCATGGTGGCGCCACATAGTGTCAAAGTGCCGAACAGAGCTGCCCTTATTTGCTTCACTAGATTCTCCGCTAGGGTCTATAGAGGCGCTTTATAGGAATATTTAGATTGTGGGATTAACTCCATTATTTAAAATTATTTCAAGTGAATGTTTCGTGTATATCGTTCATTGCATAGATTTTGTATTATATTTTATAAATATAGATTTCTTGCAGTAGGTAGTAATATAAATATTTTGTGAGATATTCGTCAGCATGCACAAAAATAATACTTGTTTTGAAAACGCTAAGTGTGTTTGTTTTGAAGTGAATGAAAATGCAACTAATTTATAGGCAACCGAGCATCACAACTTGTACTAGGTCAACGCATTCAACAATTTGAGAAATGTCGCTGAAGGATTATGAATAACTTGTTGACTTCGTATATATACCGAATTCATAATAGGTATGAATTTGTACTGTATTCAGCTATATTCAAAGTCCCGTACGAATTGAAGAGATTAGAGATTATATTATGTCAACCGATGTGATAAATACTGAAGCAATTTATTAATTTATCAACTGACTGAATAGCTATTATCGACTATTATAGAGTAAGTAACGAGGTTACTCATTACAATTGATTTAAAATATTTCAAGTACCTACACACATGAGTCTGTTTTTGTGTATTATAACAATACATAATATCTAAAAGTACAGGTATTTCAACTGAACCGAACCGAGAATTAGGCCCACAGCCTCACCCACAGCCGACATAACTTGATGAACGATCAATTTATAGTAAGACAATTATTTTTACTGAAATTTATATTATCATTCGTTGAATAGGGTGAAATGGATGCTTTGAGCTTACGATGAAAAACTCGATGAAAATATTGTTCGGTGCGCAGGAATTCAGAAACTATATTCACTGACTGACATAACAAAAAAGCACAAAAAAGCCACCATTCTTCTTGACAATTTCTTTCAAACCCTCAGCATTTCAAATAGCCAATTTATATTCAATAATTGTAGATGTTTTCAGTTATTATAAGTAAGATATTCAACTTGATTCTTCATTCATGATTTTATTCAAAGATTTTTCTCAAATTTCATCGTTCTAGTTTCATATAGAAATCGTACGAATCTTCATGCTTTTTCTTTCTTTCAGCTGGTCTTGCAGACTATTCTGTTTTGTGGTAGAATACGGTAGAATATCTGTTTAAAAATAAATTGAAGTTCTTCTTTATCCCTTTATAATCCTTTTTTCCAACTGGAGTGAAGTTGGCAACCAAAATTATACGGAAGTTCCTAATTGGCCATAGGCGTACGCCATAAATATATACACGGTAAAAATTTGTGAGTTCACTTCGTATCAATCCAGGTTCACACCGGATTGTGTAGCCATTTTACAAGTACCCTTTGATATATATACTGACACAAAATATCTCAGAAATATGAAAAATGTTCTAGAAATCAAGTATACAATTTTTACAGAATTTCAACGAAATTTTAGTTCTTATTGATGAAACAAATTGTGCATTTCTATTTTGTCGAAAAGGTTCACTCAATAGGAATATTTACCGTGTAATAGTCAGCAAGTAAATAATATAGCAGCTATATAACCAGCCAAAACGTAATCAACTTGATTTTGTACCACTGTGGGGGTATTTCTAGGAATTATTGGATAATTTGAAACTCTGGAAGTCCTTGCATGAAATCATAATCGGTTTCTAACCACAATCAATAGAAATATGAATAGAAATTGCTGTCAAATTCAACGATTACTATATACGAGGATAACTATCAAGAGCTGAAAGCGACGTGTAATTTCACGTTCGTATATATTCAAATCATCTCTGGAAACATCTCGGGAAAAATAATTCAAATCAAAAAAATAAGAATCAGATATAAAAATTTAAACAGGATAGACGAAATTCGGTTTTCTCCGGTTCACTGTACCTATATGAATTTTAGTACTAAACTGAGCACCAAATTACGCAACGTTGCTCATCCTCGTACCTCATATATACGATTTTTGAGATCCCTCGGAGATCCCCATCTTTGGATTTGTATATAATTTCCAACCTCTGGGCATGAATCGAACATAAAGTGAATGATACCTACATTATTAATGATCAATGATTAATTACTTGATATCATATAACTTTAACTTGTTTTGCTTATCAATAAGTAAGTATAGGTACATCACCTTCATACACACACGGTGAAAAAATGTGAGTTGATTTTAAGTCCAGGTCCATACAACTTTGTGCAGGTCCACACCGGATTGTGTAACCATTTTATTGTTATAACCCTTGGATTATAGTGACACAAAATGTCTCAGAAGTATGAAAAATGTTCGAGAACTCATGTAAACAATTTTGACTGACATTCATCAAAATTTGAGTTCTTGATGAAACTATATAATTGTGCATTTATATTTTGACGAAGAGCTTCACTCGATTGAATTTTTTTAACGTGCAGGGTTATTCAAATTGAGTCTCCATAACCATTGGTAACTTTTCATACTATCAAACACAATTGGATTTGTGACTTGTTTTCAGGTGAAGAAAAGATTTTTCCTCCAAAATAGAAAACGCCATACCCAATGATTTTTTCTTTCATTTGAAAAATCGTTAAAAATACTGATGCTAGTTCGCTCTAATTTGTAATATTGTAAGTAGGCACCTATAATCAATAATAACAAAGTTATGAATGATCGAGTGAATGATGGAAATACTATTTACTAACCCTAACACTTTTTTAACTACCCACTCCATCACCCTCTTCATTATGCGCTCCTGTCCTGTTGAACGATTTGGATCTTATGAAACTTCTATTTCCTGATTCATAAATTACCCAATAATAAATCTTCGGCTTGAGTGTGATCCATTTCGAACATAATTTTCGGCTTCTGACTCCCAGTCTAGACACCGCGCTACAAAATAGGCCTCTCGAACAGCTGACTGCCCCTCGTGTATCGAGAAGGACCACATCGAATTCCAGTGGGAGCGAGCGAGCACGAACTACACCCCAAATCCAAAGTGCGATAGAGCCGATTAGAGAGCATTCAACCCTGATTTTACACGCACTTGACTCAGGTAATTACAGATTAAATTTGCATATCGCTCTGCATCACGTGGCGTAACTTTGAATTCGACTCACCTGCTATTGCCATCCAGGGGTAGAACGTGTGGTTCGACTGTTGGTGTATCTGCGTCCCGACTGGCTGCGATGAAGAAGAGTTCAGGGAGCAAGGGTTGTTCCAGGACGACAAGGAGTTTCCAGTTCTGGCCGTGGCAGCTCCAGGACTGGAAGACGGATCACCCCCGACAAGTCCAACCGAGGAACCGTAACCCACCCTAGAGTCTGGGGTACACGCAGCAGGACGCACGGGTCCTGCTAGACTGTTGGATAGATTTGCACCACCACCGGAAGTTGCACTTTGCCAAACGTCTTTTACCGCTGCCGCTGCCACCACCGAGGCGTAGCCATTCTGATCCGCGTTGCCTTTCGAACAGTCCGATTTTGGATTCGACGAGCTGTAATTTACTGAATTTTGCTGGTTATCTGTGGACGAGGAATAAAGTTTGCAGGCAGCTGCTACTGAGGCATCATACGGGGAATCTTGTGGAGGTCTCGCTTGGTGTAAGGAATGAGCGTGGTGGTGTTGGCTGGAGGCATAAGGTGACATACCAAGACTGAGAGGAAAGGATCTGTACGCTGCTGCTGCTGCAGCACTTTGGTGGTCATGATGATGTGCTCCTGTGACAGAACCAGTACTCTGGTGATGGTGACCACCGTAGAAGCCACTCTGTTCGAAGTAAGAGTTCATTATTGTCGCGTTAATTTTGGCAGATTATTCAAGATCCCTCAAAGCTGAGGGATTTCCTTGCAGCCAACAAAAAAATCACCAGAAATGTAGAGTCACTCAGTCCACACGACACAAACTTATTTAGTTGTTGTGATTATGCACTAATGTCAAATAAAGTTGAAGAGATCATTGTCATTACGGAATTTAACGAAAATGGGTCACTAATTGCGGGGAAGTGGCAATGATACTAGAAGTAACGATTATTGTAACGAGGTAATAACAATAAAAGTGGGTAATAAAATTCGAGAATACGAGAGTATAAGGACACGAGGCGAGCACACCGCGCGAAAGCCGAGTCCGGAATGCACACGCTAACTAGTTAGATCGCGGATCGGAACCCACTGGAGCTCCGGAGCAGAATCCGGCCCACACATCCCGGCCCATTCTCTCTCTCGCTCATAAGTCTCTGTCTTTCTCTCTCGCACCTTCACTACCCCCTCCTAATGTAGCACGCGGCAATAATAGTCGGCTCATTATTACCTGGCCACTATTGCTACCTGTATTGTTGAGCCTAAGGACCCGATTCGATAGGGTCATGAATTGATATCCCTTTCTTTAATCTTTTCATTCTCGAGATGATCCCCTCTGATCCAATCAGCACTTCAGCGCCCGTTTGCCAGGGCACATTGTTTCCCACATCAAGGAAACAAGATTTTTCTTTTAAACAATTTGGTATATGTTTAATTGAGATAGTTGAAAGTCTGAACGTGATGAAGGAAGACGTTTGAAAATTTGCAAGTAATAAGGATGAATATATATTTATAATGGAAGGGATCATAAATGGACCAATCGCAATAGTATTCGTTACATTGCTGGCGCCCACTTCAGCATTGCGCAAGGAAAATATATCCCCTAACGACCTCCAGCTCACAAACCGTTCTCCCCACTAACTATCGCGTTCTTTCTCGCGCTCCGCAAGTTGGCCATGCTGGTGTGGTGGCGCCCTCTGTCGATCAAGTGCTTAACTAATAAAGCAGACACTTTTCGACGTTCAAACGAGTAACATCAAAGTATATGGCTACTTGAGGTAGTCGTAAACGATAAAATTCATTCAAAATAAATACTTACGCTCGCTCTTATTGACCATAAAGTTTTGTAGAGGAGTTTTATGTACTATAAATGAGGGAGTTTGTGAGCTGATAATGATTTGAATTCTTTGTGTACATGGCCGTGAATTGTGATTTATATCATCACTTCCTTCGCACTTTATGTTAGATATTGATAGGTTCTTACACATAATTTGATAACTGGAGTTTATACTAATCAGTTTCAATATTGATGTGCGACTACTGTAATAATGGTAAGATATTGCAATTAAATATGAAAACTGGATATTGCAATTGAATATAAAAATTTTCCTTGTCTTTTACTTTGTCATGTAAATATGGTTCTCTCAATTATCTCACTTGAGTAAAATTGAACAGTTTATAGTTGCTTATTACCGAGTTGCTCAATTCAAGGTATAGGTTTAGATGAAGATAATACCTTACTTGTTCATTGACTTTTTATAGGACCTATCTAGCCGCACGTCAAATATATAGTTCGGATATTATGGAACAACTGGAGCTAGCCAATTTCAGTATTTGATATAGATATGGATAATTTGGCTTCTTCTTCCAGAAGTCGGATTATAGATCATATCATTGTGAAAATAAGAAAATTCAACAATATTTTGAACTACCGAGAATAACTTGAATTGATCTCTTGATCAATAAAAATGTACCAACTTATATTGTTCAAGTACATTAGCACCAAAACCAATTATTATGAATTGTGGCATCAACGTTTAGTCCATATTGGAAAATCTGAATTTTTAGAGTTAAAAAATTAACAAATTATAGAGGGGGTATGCGCTACACTGGTCGACATTTCTAGATATTCAACGATAGTAATTGCATTGGTTTATTTAATTTTCGTCTACATATACACAGTGGACTGTGCATATCCAACAAAACATGATCAAATATATAGGACTGAAAATTTATACCTGTTTTGCCACATCGTAATGTATTTGTCACTTTCGGCAATTTTATGATCCCATTCATCTCATTATCTGCTACCCAGTAATAAAATCAAAAATCTAAGGATGTTTATTTACCGAATAATGATGTATAACAGTCATAAACATAATTCCAACAACCTTACCGACTACTTAAATGTCAATAGAGTATCCATAACATGGTCATAAAAGTACAATAAAATGATGTTAAGCCAAACTAATCCTTATGCTTAGGGGAAACAGAGTGTTCGGTTTCCGTTAGATGGATTTCGGAAACTTCAATATGCAAGGAGGTAGGTCATTCTATGAGAAAGACATTTACTGTCATTGGAGTGATCGTAAAAGTCACCTAGAAGAAGAAAAAAGTTATGGCGTTCGCACTTCATAAAACACATGAGAAGCGTGCCAAATGCTATAAAAACTTTATGGGTAGATAATATAAAATTAAATGATTTGTTTATGAAAACAGTAGGCACAGCATATCATTAAATGTTTATGTGCTTTTTATAGGATGTAAGATAAGTAGGCAAAGTTTATAAAACAGAATATGTGGTAGATATTTCAATCTTAATAAACCCAACCTACCTTTATGCTTCAAGAATTTATTTATTTTTGATTCATTTCGCTATTCGAAATAATTTCACAAAATATAGATAATACGTACACTATATATAGTCTTCAATGAACTATAGGAAACGAATAGGTATAATAATAATAATAATAAATGATTTTATTGAGTCAGCATAAATGTACAACAGGTATTATTTTACATATAAGTATGTTTCTCAATTTCACGATTAGATCGCAAATTGCTCTTCCACTCAACCGTAATAAGGAGTTCATCCATTGATATGAAAGAGCTCCTTCCTATTCTAGATATTTATGTACATTTCCTAAATAGTTATGATATTATTCTATATATACATAATATTCACACAAACCTTTATACGTGTTCTATTTTTTCAAATTGAAGTTCGGGTTTTCAAACAAATACTTTTTCATTTGTTTCTTGAAGTTTGGGAGGCTACAGCTATTGACTTATACATGCCAAGAGTTGTGAAAGTCAATGTATACATAAAAATAACAAAATGAAATATATCAATTAGGAAATAGAATCCAATAACGAATATCCAGAAGAACTGCCTTAAATACTTGAAGAATATGTGTCTGCTCAATTTTCTTCTTATATCTAATTTAGATATCAGAGTGTAAGTTATCAATACAAATAACCAAATATATGAAGGAATGATTGAAATAATTACGTAATCCAGGGTTGAGAGCAGATAGATATTGTGAATTGCGACCATCCATCACTATGAGAAATTTCAAATAATATTGTTTATTGAGCCTTTTTCGAATTCACAGTTCACATAGAACGATGAATTTATGGACCATTTTCTGTCATTCTTTGGTCTGGTGTAAATTAGCAGTTTTGTGAACATTGAATTTGAAAATTTTCTGAAGAAATAAGATATTATACCTACATGCCAACAGTTGTGAAAATAGCGACACTCTATATAAACCATGTAGTATTTATTTTCATTAGAAGAATAATACACTATATACCTAAACAGGAAGGTATATAGGTGATAAACTGAATCAAATCAAATCATCAAATGAGCTTTATTGTCCAAGATGAAATCTAATTGAGAAGGCAGAGTACAAATTTTGTATATATAGAGATTGAAAATACATTGTTACCATAGAACATAAAGTATTTATAAACGTCAAAACGTCAATACAGATAGATATAAAATAAGTCACAAAAAGAATATATAAACATCAACAAAATCAAAAGAAAAACAAAGACCGAAGTCAACAACTGAGAATTACAGAAACCCCAAAACGCGATACCATATACCTAATGTGTGATTCAAGAAGTGCAAAATAGGTAATTTTTGCTGAATCTTATATAACCTTGTCAAAATACTATTCGAACAGAAAAACATCAGCCTGATGTTAATGTCTTGTTCAGATTTGAAGTGTGCTCCACGTATTTCAATTTATGGTCAATGTGTAGCCCGAGGAAGTTACGAAAAAAATTGCATCGCGCCACTGCTTGACCTTCACAGAAAAAAATAATTTGATAGCATTAACAGAACGGGTTCTGTATCGGATTTAACGAAGAATTATTTCAGCGTTACAGAATTTTTTTACCATAAATAGAACCATTGTCACGAAAGATACAGAATGTTGCAGATTTTCTATTAATTTTACAATAAATTTCTGTAAGTAGTTGTCGCCGATCATATATAATTTCTTTTCTATTCACTTATCATTCTATAATATTGATAGAATAGCTAGGTATAAGATTACAGAAAATACTGTTGGTATCAAAGTTTGACATTTTCAATGATAATTTTATACCAAGAATAGAATCTTCTCTAACACTCATGGAATATTTTGTTAGAATTGACACAAAGTCTTTCTTTGAATATTAAAGAAAATATCTCATGCGGATACGAATAGTTCTGTAATATTAAAAGATCATGAGTGAAGTCATTGTTTCGAAAGAATGTTCTTTAAATAAAACAAATAGTTCAGTTCCAGTTCAAGAAACACTAGAAACATTATGTCATTATTCACCAATCAGATTCGTGCTTACGCTCACCTGATGTCACCGAACATGATATGTATTGGTCTATTTTCAAATTTGGTTACCATCCCTTATTCATTTTTTATTCAGTATTGACAGTGAATGCATCGGTGTTGAGTGTTGTTTTCAATTTTCTTTCCGATTGATAGGTATCAAGGTAAGTGTACTTAACCCTATATCAGCTTAGCGAGATTTGGATACTGGGTACCTACCGATACCTGATTGTGTATTATACATTCATCAATATACAGGGTGTTACATTAATATGAGTATAGATATGGTTACATCAATAAATTGTGACAACAATGAAGGCGAGAAAATAGAAAGAAGTTCCTATGAACTTTTACTCGTAGTTTTCAAGATAAG